GACTCGGAGCTACCCTTTTTTCTGGCTGAAGCACATTTGTTTCAATCTATAAGAATAATCAGCCTACACTACCAGTCAAACAGTCAAAAGCAGTAAGATTTCTTCTTTTTTTAAAAGAATTTTCTTCTGCTCACCAAGCCTGCATTTATTTGACCCAAAGTACACCAAAAATTGACAATTTTTGAAATATTTTTACTATTTAAAATAACTGCTTTCTATATGAATATATTTTAAAATTTAATTTATTCCTTTGATCAAAGCTGAATTTTCAGCATCATTACTCCAGTCTTCAGTGTCACATGATGCAGAAATCATTCTAATATGCCGATTTGCTGATTATCACTATTTAAAACAGTTGAGTATATATTTTTTTCAGGATTCTTTGATAAATAGAAAGATCCAAAGATCAGCATTTATCTGAAATAAAAAGCTTTTGTAACATTATACACTATGATGATAACGACAATTTATAATGTTACAAAAGATTTCTATTTCAGATAAATGCTGTTCTTCTAAACTTTCTATTCAACAAAGAAACCTGAAAAAATTCTACTCCGCTGTTTTTAACATAATAATACATGAATTTTTAGCAGCAAATCAGAATATTAGAATGATTTCTGAAGGATCATGTGACTGGAGTAATGATGCTAAAAAATATAGCTTTGAAATCACAGAAATAAATTACATTTTAAAATATTTTCAAATAGAAAACAGTTATTTTAAATAGTAAAAATATTTCAAAATGTTACTGTTTTTGTGTTACTGTCATTTTGGATTAAATAAATGCAGGCTTGGTGAGCAGAAGAGACTTCTTTAAAAGCATTAAAAATCTTACTGTTAAAAAACTTTTGACTGGTAGTGCATGTTAGGGAGCAGGTTGCTGAAGCCACGCCCACCTAGCTCGACGGTGGTGACAGCAGCGGCAATCCACCTGTCACTCAAGTGGCCACGCCCTTAATTATGCAGAACTTTAAGGCTTAATATAATTTAAACAGATGACTTATAAAAAAATTCACCCCCCTCACAGTTGTCATGAAGGGCAAAATTAGCTATATAGACCAAAATCATTTTTGAACCAGGCTGTAAACATGTTTTTTTCTGCTGTAAAGTCGGCCATTTTAACATGGGGAGTCTATGGGATTGACTCCCTTTTGCAGCCAGGCTCTAGCGGCCAGTTGATGAATTACAGTTTAAGTCACTTCCGTGTTGGCTTCACGAGAGAGAGTGGGAGGTTGCCGCTTGTTTGTAACATGACCATACTCGTTTTGGTGAGATGTTTTGCTTGAAAAGTATGTGCTATTTTATTTACAATAGATTTCACTCGTTTTTTATTTTGTTATATTTAGCGAAGACATTCATACATTGGGTGTGGCCTGAGTGTCCAAACACATTTTTGGAGCCATGCAGAGTGCATAGACGACTGATAGTTTGTCTTGTGTGTGTTTGTTGTAGGTGAACTGGGAGAAGAGGATCCTGAAGAGTTTGAACAGTATGTGCACTGAGTTGGGAATTCCATTGGCACGGAAGGTAAAGGTTTATTTCATTGTATGTACAATGACACATGTGCGTTTGAGCAATTAAACTGTCTTTTTTTTTCCTTTTATACAGCGGCCAGTCCCAGAGCAGAAAGAGCTGACAAATAAATGGAACGAGATGGGAACTGATGAACCAGGTAATGCAGACACTCACAGTCTGTTCTTCCACTCTGACATACTCAAGGTTACATCCCAGTGTGTGTGTGTGTGCGTGCGTGCATGTGTGTTCATGCATTGCAGAATGTTTACACACAGAGGTTTGGCTCACACACAGAAGCCCTGAGCAGTATAACAGCTCCATAACAATGCTATCAGTTTGCAGTGTATATGATAACATTCACCGCTTTCTGCAGGACACTGGCATAAACAGCCCTTCCTGTGAATCCAGAGCATGTCCAGATGCCTGGACCACATCCCAATTACTAAAGCTATTGCTTACCTTCTTCCTTGCGTTCTTTCTTCTGCTTGCACTTTGATTCTCTTGTTCTTGTTCTGTCTTACAATTTCAGCACGACTTTCAAAACATAAAGTAATATTGCCAGATTAACAGATTTTGTTCATGTTAGAGGATTACTTGCAAAATGAAAATTTGGTCATCATTTATCACTCACTCACTCACTCACTCATTTAGTTGGTTAACATGTTTTTTTCCCTTCTTTGGAACACAAAGGTTTATGCTCTTTTCCAATTGGATGGGGATTTTTGTATGTCCAAAAAAATACACTCATTTAGTTGGTTAACATGTTTTTTTCCTTCTTTGGAACACAAAGGTTTATGCTCTTTTCCAATTGGATGGGGATTTTTGTATGTCCAAAAAAATACATTGGAAGTATCATATACATCATATAAAATCATATACAAATTGTATGCCATATTCCAGGTCTTCTGAAGCTGTATAATAGCTGTCTGAGATTTTGGAAAGTTGTTATTTATTTAAACAAGTAGTAATACTCCAGTACTGCATTTTTTTCTGTGTGTACTTTATATATATTTTTCTGATCAGTCGCCAGAGTTTTAAAAACTGACAGCATCTTTTAGCTGTTATTAATCATTGTGGATGTGAAATGCCACAGATAACAGAGAGCAATTAAGATACTGAGGTTGCAAGTTAAGGTTCCCATTACTTAAAGAGCTATTATGTCTGCTGCATTATAAAAACTATAACAATGTCTTTGACATTATTGCAGGGTTAAGATTGAGAGAATTTCGTCATCATGTTTTCAATGACACTAATTGGTAGGCTATTATAATATACAAGTTTGGAAGCACTCAGATCTGTGTTTTCTTATTGCAGACCTAAGCAAATTCAGGCCTGTCTACGCACCCAAAGACTTCATTGAGGTGGGTCTCACTTACATAATCAAATCAGTTTATTGAAAACATCCGGTCCAGATGAGAAAGATAGGCCTGGATATGAAACAGCTGATTGGATTCCCTCGGGAAATGTTCAGTTAAATTACTCTCGAGTGAGAATTGACTGAGCGGTTGTTTTGATAGCACCACAGAGCCACTGTGTTTACACTTATGAATGGTTTATTTATTGCTGGCTATATATAATTGGCATATTCAGCTGGGATAAGAGGGTTTTGTAGAAGGTTGTAGCATTTATCATGTCTCACTTTTTACTATACATATGTATTCTTATTTAGGTAATATGAAACATAATATTTCTTGTTGTGTAGGTGTTGGTTGGTTTAAAAAACCCAAATAACGAGCGCAGTGACGATCTCACAGTCAGAAGCCACTGGGGATTAATCCAGGTTTCCCTCAACGTCCGTGACATTCCTCAAATGGTGAGTCTCCCTTTTTTTATTTCACTTCCTTCTATTTTTTTTAATGTCAAGACACAAAGAATGTGCATCGTGACTGCTGATTATCATCTGAAACCATTTCTTTAAACAAATTACAGTAATCAAGGGTTAGAGAAAAAGCTAAATGATTGTGGAAACTATCTTGGTGCTCACTGCCTTTTTTTCACCAGCTGAAGCTTTGATTCATTTTGATTTTCAATGTTTTTTGTGGAGTTTGACATGCTGAATACCAAAATCATATTTTTGTTTAACAGCATTAACAGCGGTCAAAGAAATATTACAAGCTAACTAACAGGGTTTTTGCGGGTCTTAAAGAAGTCTTAAAAAGTCTTACATTTAGTTGTATCAAATTTAAGGCCTTAAAAAGTCTTAAATTGTACAAGAAAGTCTTAATTATGATTTCAAGAGGTCTTAAATTTGGGGACGGAAAGACCAGAATTGCGATATGGCTGAATGTGATGATTAAACTTCAAAAGGCTATGATTTGATTTCATGAAATAAACATGAGCGCTGCATGTTCTAAGTCCGGTGCAGCGCTGCTTTGTGTTCTGCTGCTACCGGGGAAACAGTTATATTTCTACAAAACGCTCCACCCGCTGGCAGAGAATGAATGAGCATTTTCAATAAAACTGTTGTTTTGTTCAGAGTTCAGACCAATGCGAAAATCGACCCATGTTTTTACCTTGCAAACACGCAGAGCTTTAAATGTGAACTGGTGGATCGATAAGAAGACAATGCATTATAAAAATCTAAAGAGCATAGGGGTGTGCGATATGTATGGTCTGCGATAGTATCGTTGTTGTTGTTTTAATGATGATTTGATATTATCGAGTATATCTCGAAAAGCAAACAAAACACCTACAGAGGGCACGCATACATTAGATGATGAAGTCTAGCAGGTTAGACTAATGCACGCATTTAGAGTGCTTTCTTTCACTGCATTAATCAGTCTATTAAAATGCATTTAGAATTATCACATCATTCAAGATATGGGGCAGAAAATTGATATATTTATGTAATTTCATATAGTTAATATCACACGAAGAGTGCTGTTTTTTTCTCCAAAAGTCAGCATGATTACAAATGTGATATTGATTTTATACAACAGTTCAATAAACAAGAAGTTAATATTAAGAGACTTACGTTTTAGACACCGTATTTCCTGCTTTTGCTCTATTTCTCCAACAAAACCCATTTCAAACACAGCCACAGCACTTTTTGCGTCTCTGAGCAACACGATGGTGTTTCGTTCCTGAATGAATCAACCGTGTAAATGATTCGGTTCAGTTGCAATGACTCACTTAACAGTGACTTGCTGCCACCTACTGGCAGTTTTAATTTCACGTTTAAGGTACCTTTTCATTTTTAAAATAATTTCATACTTCAGTTTTCAATGTTTTATGTTTAAAATATTAAAACATTATTTATGCATTTGTAACTGCAGGTTGGAGTATTCCATGTCCCTCAGAGCTGCAAATACATCTAAATGCCATTTCAGATGCAGCTTCTGTGTTTCCTCTGCATTGCAAAGATCAATTTTGTTGATACTGATTTCATTTGCTTGGTAACAGTCCAAATGCAAGAATTTGACTCAAAATATGGTGCACACTTTTAAAGAAAAAATGGCTTAGAAGTAAAAATGCCCATAAAACTAGTTGGAAATGATTACTTTCTATCACTGCTGTGAACTGACCACACAGAATATGAAGAATATAAGCTGAATATAAGAGTCAGCTGTCAGCACAATTAGAGATAAGCTATCAGCACTATAACACACTCTATAGCAAAATATTGTCTAATTATCGTTATCGATAAAATCCCAGAAAATTATCGAGATATAATTTTTTGTCAATATCGCACACCCTAATTTGTTATTTAATTGATATAATACTTTATTGATAATAATTGTTTAAATTAATATAATAATTAATACTTTTGACTCGTCCATTTTCTTAAAAATGGTTTAAAGGCTGAAATGTAAAGTTGATCATTTTATAAAACGTTTTGTTTTTGTGAAAACTTGTATCTGAACTGTAAATTATGCTTTTTACAGTTTAATATGGTACTATAGACATTGCCCTACCCCGCTCATATGGTATTAATTTTATTTGTGCAGGTCTTAAAAAAGTATTTAAAAAGTCTTAAATTTGAGCTTAAAAATCCTGACTAAAAAAAACGTATAAAAGCTAATCTGTTATTACTCATGCATAAAAATTACATGCACAGTACTGAGCTAACAACATTGAGTCGTCCAGAACTTCATAAGTGTATGCTGGATGTTCCCACAATGCTCTGGAATGTTCAAGAAAGCACTAGAATAATACAGAATGTTATAGAAACTTCTAGTATGTTCCAATGCTCGCAAAAGCAAAATATCTTTAAAAACATGCAAAATTAGTACAAAAATGTTTCTGTACTAAACCAATGTTTCAGAATTAATAACAGGTTCTAAAATTTACCTGACTTAAATATTTACCAGAATAATGATGTTACGTGCAAATAAATAGTACAATAATAATTAGCACCACAGAATTACACAACCATAACATTTGAAGTGAAACTAATTTTTGTTACATTGTCTCATGCATTGTCTCACAATAATTATAAATGATCATAAATATAACCCACGTCCATTGGTAGGGATGAGATTTTTTGACCAGTTATTTGTATTTGTTGCAGAGGGAAATGTATCCAGAACTAGGTCTTACTTATGGACAGCTTGGTATAGACGATCACACTCATGTTCCTCCAGGTAATTATTTACACATTTCATCCATAACATGATGAGTAATGGGGTAATATTACATGGGATGAGCTCTACTACCGTCAGATCCCTTTCACACTAGTCCAAATAGGATGTTCCTCCTGTTTTTGATAAACTCTTCTCTTACTGTCACGCCACAAGTCAACAGAGGCTTCACCTAAACTCTGCTTGTAATGTTTTGACCCTATGAACTCTCTATGTAGTGTGTTTATGTATTGTATTTAATGTTACCAAAGAGGTTCAGTGCTCGTGTTTAAATATTGGTGTTGCCCTCTCACTTCTTTTCTGTTTCTCCGCTGTTTCAACACAGATTTGTTTGAGAGTGAGCACATTCACATTGGAAAAAAAGGTAAAAATAAACTCTCTTTGTCGTTATCATGACACGAATGCTTGTTTAATACTGCTTTATCACTGGGTCTTGTGGAGAATATTTGTTTAATATTTGACATTCCATTCCCCCTAAAATAATACAGTACTGGTCAGATTTTGAAGGCAGCATAGATGCTTCCTCCACTGCCTGTGATATCCCATGATGCTATACATAAAAAAAACAGAATGGTGTAAATTTAGTACAATTATAATTGTTTTCAACACTGATAATAATAAGAATTGTAACCCAAGTACTAAATCAGCATATTAGGATGATTTCTGAAGGATCATGTGACAATTGAAGAATGGGTTAATGGCTGCTGAACATTCAGATTTGCCATCACATGAATGTATATGCTGATACATTTTAAAACATAATAAAATAGAAAACAGTTCAGTTGTAATAATATTTCACAATATTACTGTTTTACTGCATTTTTGATCTCTTGAATGTGCTCCAGATCATTAGACATTATATTACGGTTTTCTTTAGGATGCACCTTCATGTACAAAACAATACTTGTTTTGTCAGTGACAGATTTGGCATCAAGGCAGCTGCTTTAGGTTTTAGACACATCCAGAAGGTTTCTCTCAAAAAGTGTTTACTAAGATGTGTTAGGGTCCCACTTGTTTTTCTGCATTTCTGTAGTGGTGAGCGAGCAAGACAGTGCAGCGGCGCAGCAGTACAGCAGACAGGGCTGCCCCACCGGTCTCAGGGCCCAGCTGTGGTCTCTCATCCTGAATACTACTAATGATCCTGAGGTAATGACTCCATTTCAAACTGCATTTAGAAAGGGGACACTGTTTTGACAGTTATTCCAGATGGAAGTGAGCCAGTGAATTTGTGTGTGTGTGTGTGTGTGTTTATGTTATGGTACTGCCCTGCACTTATCAGAGTCTTCACTTGAAGTGCTTCTTTAGAGTAAAGTGGTTTCAGTAGCCATTTTCAAAGGGAATATGTACAGTGGGGCAAAAAAGTATTTAGTCAGCCACCAATTGTGCAAGTTCTCCCACTTAAAAAGATGAGAGAGGCCTGTAATTTTCATCATAGGTATACCTCAACTATGAGAGACAAAATGAGAAAAAAAACCCCCAGAAAATCACATTGTAGGATTTTTAAAGAATTAATTGGTAAATTCCTCGGTAAAATAAGTATTTGGTCACCTACAAACAAGCAAGATTTCTGGCTCTCACAGACCTGTAACTTCTTCTTTAAGAGGCTCCTCTGTCCTCCACTTGTTACCTGGATTAATGGCATCTGTTTGAACTCGTTATCAGTATAAAAGACACCTGTCCACAACCTCAAACAGTCACACTCCAAACTCCACCATGGCCAAGACCAAAGAGCTGTCAAAGGACACCAGAAACAAAATTGTAGACCTGCACCAGGCTGGGAAGACTGAATCTGCAATAGGTAAGCAGCTTGGTGTGAAGAAATCAACTGTGGGAGCAATTATTAGAAAATGGAAGACATACAAGACCACTGATAATCTCCCTCGATCTGGGGCTCCATGCAAGATCTCACCCCGTGGGGTCAAAATGATCACAAGAACTGTGAGCAAAAATCCCAGAACCACACGGGGGGACCTAGTGAATGACCTGCAGAGAGCTGGGACCAAAGTAACAAAGGCTACAATCAGTAACACACTGCGCCGCCAGGGACTCAAATCCAGTGCCAAATCGTGTCCCCCTGCTTAAGCCAGTACATGTCCAGGCCCGTCTGAAGTTTGCTAGAGAGCATTTGGATGATCCAGAAGAGGATTGGGAGAATGTCATATGGTCAGATGAAACCAAAATAGAACTTTTTGGTAAAAACTCAACTTGAGGAGAAAGAATGCTGAGTTGCATCCAAAGAACACCATACCTACTGTGAAGCATGGGGGTGGAAACATCATGCTTTGGGGCTGTTTTTCTGCAAAGGGACCAGGACGACTGATCCGTATAAACGAAAGAATGAATGGGGCCATGTATCATGAGATTTTGAGTGAAAACCTCCTTCCATCAACAAGGGCATTGAAGATGAAACGTGGCTGGGTCTTTCAGCATGACAATGATCCCAAACACACCGCCCAGGCAACGAAGGAGTGGCTTCGTAAGAAGAATTTCAAGGTCCTGGAGTGGCCTAGCCAGCCTCCAGATCTCAACCCCATAGAAAATCTTTGGAGGGAGTTGAAAATCCATGTTGCCCAGCGACAGCCCCAAAACATTACTGCTTTATTGGTCTTATGAAGTATTCTAATTTGTTGAGATGGTGGGTTTTTGTAAAATGTGAGCCAAAATCATCACAATTAAAAGAACCAAAGACTTCAACTACTTCAGTCTGTGTGCATTGAATTTATTTAATACACGAGTTTCACAATTTGAGTTTAATTACTGAAATAAATGAACTTTTCCACGACATTCTAATTTATTGAGATGCACCTGTTTATAACTGTTTAAAGTTTGGGGTCAGTATGATTTTTTTTATTTATTTTTTTTTTAAGAAATTGTTACTTTTACTCAGCAAGAACATATTAAATTGATCATAAGTGACAATTATATAAAAAATTCCAATAATCTCTATTCCTTTGAACTTACTATTCATCAAAGATTCCCAATGAAAATGTCAAATGGATCATGGTGATACATTGATAATAATAAGAAATGTTTCTTGAGCACAAAATCAGCATATTAGAATGATTTATAAAATATCACGTTGACACTAAAGACTCAAGTAATGACTGTGAAAAATTCAGCTTTGCCATCACAGGAATACATAGCATTTAAAAAAAAACCATTCTTAAATTATAATGTTTTACAATATTACTGTTTTTACTGTATTTCTAATCAAATTAATGACCTTGGTGAACACAAGAGACTTCTTTCACAAACCCCAGTCTATAGTAGACCCCAGGTAGTGTATATATACCATACTTTTTTCTCCCTTTCTTACAAACACAGTCATGCACAGATCCTCAAACATATATAAAACTACCATAAATATTTAGGTACCTTTAAACAGATGCAACCATTTGTATATCTTAATTGTCATTTATGGCAGTTGGTGTGAACATGTGCCAGAACTGACATTTTATGGGTATTTATTTGTACTTATCAGACACATTCATGGCTGAAATGTTCCATATGCTGTCTAAATTACAGTTTCAGAGTACAAGTAGTAAAAGCATTACACTGTTTTATGAGGGTTAATAAAAATTTAATATAAGATGTAAACATTTTTACAGTAGAGATTTTGTTAAGGCTCAAATCAAGTTGAGATCAGAATTAAGTATGTTTGGTTGGTGTGAAACCAGTTTTTGCTGATGTGTACCATATTTGAGCCATATCTGAGTTTGCTTTAAAAGGTGGTTTGGTAGCTGCTATTAATGATGTATAATTTGCATGCTTTTTATAGCATAATGCCTTTCAAAATGTGAAAAGACATTTGAAATTGTATGCTGGTCCAGACCAAGCAGTCCAGTCAAGTGTGAAAACAGTCATAATCCTTCCTAATAAAATTTGCTTTGAGTTGCTTGTGGGGCAGAAATGACAGAGCAGGTACCCACTGTGATTTTTCACACTGGCCATCTAATAGCTGCCATTTTCAGATGTGAAACAATGTCTCCCAGCTGGCTGATGGGTCCTTGGGCCTTCATTAAAGCAGTGAAACAGCATCTGGAGAATGTACTTTTCCTATGTGTTAATAAGAAGACAAACACCCGGCGTGGGGCGACACATTTTAAACAAGTAGAGTAATCCCTCACTTTTTGAGCTAGTGCTGTAGATGTGGGCAGGACAGGAGCCAGTGGAATGACAGAGAGGGGAAGAGGGGAAATCACAAGAGGTTTAAATGTTTCAGGTGGAACAATTATGTAACTGCTGATAAAGCAGCTGTCTGGATGACAGCGACCAGCTCACATGCCTATTCTCAGAAAAATGGGGAAAATTATCCTCTCCCTCTGGGTAACAGGAGGGCAATGGGCTTTTAAAAAGACTCATGATTGGAGCCTGTCTTAGGGCGTAAATGTTTAAAATGATAAGGGATAATCAAAGGTAATTATGATAAAGTTAGCTTGCAGTTATGATTTCCAAGTAAGAACTTCCTGGGAGGACTTGTCTTCAATGCAGGAAAATTGAAAGTTTTTGACTACAGTGTCTCTTCATGAACAGTATTATTGGTATGGTAACACTTTACTATAGGGACCAATTCTCACTATTAACTAGTTGCTTATTACACTGAACAAAATTATAAATGCAACACTTTTGTTTTTGCCCCCATTTGTCATGAGCTGAACTCAAAGATCTAAGACTTATTCTATGTACACAAAAGGCCAATTTCTCTCAAATATTGTTCACAAATCTGTCTAAATCTGTGTTAGTGAGCACTTCTCCTTTGCCGAGATAATCCATTCACCTCACAGGTGTGGCATATCAAGATGCTGATTAGACAACATGATTATTGCACAGGTGTGCCTTAGGCTGGCCACAATAAATGGCCACTCTAAAATGTGCAGTTTTATCACACAGCACAATGCCACAGATGTCGCAAGTTTTGAGGGAGCGTGCAATTGGCATGCTGAATGCAGGAATGTCCACCAGAGCTGTTGCCCGTGAATTGAATGTTAATTTCTCTACCATAAGCCGTCTCCAAAGGCATTTCAGGGAATTTGGCAGTACATCCAACCGGCCTCACAACCGCAGACCACGTGTAACCACACCAGCCCAGGACCTCCACATCCAGCATCTTCACCTCCAAGATCGTCTGAGACCAGCCACCCGGACAGCTGCTGCAACAATCGGTTTGCATAACCAAAGAATTTCTGCACAAACTGTCAGAAACCGTTTCAAGGAAGCTCATCTGCATGCTCGTCGTCCTCATCGGGGTCTCGACCTGACTGCAGTTCGTCGTCGTAACCGACTTGAGTGGGCAAATGCTCACATTCGATGGCGTCTGGCACTTTGGAGAGGTGTTCTCTTCTCTTCAACCTGATCAACTCTATGCGAAGGAGATGTGTTGCACTGCGAGAAGCAAATGGTGGTCACACCAGATACTGACTGGTTTTCGGACCCCCCAATACAGTAAAACTGCACATTTTAGAGTGGCCTTTTTGTTGTGGCCAGCCTAAAGCACACTTGTGCAATAATCATGCTGTCTAATCAGCATCTTGATATGCTACACCTGTGAGGTGGATGGATTATCTCGGCAAAGGAGAAGTGCTCACTAACACAGATTTAGACAGATTTGTGAACAATATTTGAGAGAAATAGGCCTTTTGTGTACATAGAAAAAGTCTTAGATCTTTGAGTTCAGCTCATGAAAAATGGGGGCAAAAACAAAAGTGTTGCATTTATAATTTTGTTCAGTGTAGCATGCATATATTGGCTGTTTATTAGTACTTATAAAGCACATATTCTGCATGACCATATTTTACATCCCTAATCCTACCCAATGCCTAAACTTAAAGGGATATTTCACCTTCAGTTGCTAGTCCCCATTGACTTCCATAGTATGAAAAAAAACACTATGCAAGTCAATGGGAACCAGCAACTGAAGGTGAACTATCCCTTTAATATCTACCTCACTAACTATTAATAAGCAGCAAATTAGGAGTTTGGAATGGTTTGAATGGTTAATAGCCAGAATTGGACCTTAAAATAAAGTGTGACCATATTATTCTAATGTAATTATATATATGAAAAATGAAATATATCATATATATATACAGTGGGGAAAAAAAGTATTTAGTCAGCCACCAATTGTGCAAGTTCTCCCACTTAATAAGATGAGAGAGGCCTGTAATTTTCATCATATATATATGAAAAATGAAAATGGCATTTAGTTATAAAAAAATATTGCACGACTATAAAAATAAATATCATAGATGATTTAGATCTGGTTCTAATTATCTGCAGTGATCTGTTCCAGTACAGCCTTTTGTGACATTTAACATTTTTGACCCAGCAATCTTATTAATATGCTGCTTACAATAGCAATTTAATTCGTTAATTGGTTAGTATAATTAACTTAGCTGTAATGACTGGGGATAGTTTGATCTGCGTATAGGTGCTTCTTTATCCATTATGTATTGGTTAATTCAATTCAGCAGACTGAGATAAATTGACTCTGTGTCAATTCTTTTGTTTTTATTTCATTAAACAGGACATAACACATTATGAACAGCTGAAGGCTAGAGTCATACACCATGACCTGCTGGTGGACAACCTAATATATAAGGTACATTTACAGTATAGTTTATTTGATGGAAATGGTTTTGTATACACCATTTGTTCTATTGAATATTCTATAATAGGTTTTAACAAATAGAGAGTAATAGTTCTGAAAGACCCATCTCTTCCAAGATCAAGCTTACAGTATATGCTTAACTGGTAAACAGATACAATGGCAATAGGATTAAATTGTTTTTGTTTGCAATACTATTATGTATTTAAAAATTGTCCCATTTTTGTACCCCTAGTGCATCTGTTTTCTGATTAAAATGCCTGATGATTTTTCTTCTCAGGATGTGAAGCTTACTGCAAGTAATGACGATTACTACTTTGTGTTTGAGGACTATTTATATCAAGTGAGTTAATGCATGTCACTCTCTGTTACACATATACAACACAACCTTTCAGTCAGCTGATTACAAATGAGAATTCTCACAAATGAGAGTCTTTGGTAATCAAAGGAGGAGAACATTTCCCAAGTTAGTTTGAACTTGACTTTGATAGAGGTCTTTGAACACGTATATTGCTGTAGACTAAACTCGTGAGAATGTTACCCATGTAAAATCATGCTCTTTGACCTCGTGTACCTAAAACCAGATAGATACAGATAGGACTGTTGTGTAGTCGCACAGATAGACCTCTCGAAATAGACTTCTCTATTCATGGGGAATTCATGAGTCATATGAGCTTTATTAAATTTCCACTGCTTGATATTCACTTTCACCACAAAATCATAATCAAGTTTAATTTGCAGGTTAATTTTTCCTATAAAATAGCTAAACATGCTCAGATACACTGCCTTTAATATGAGGCCTTTTTAGGGAATAATGCACTCTTCCTAAATTAGTTTAATAAATGGTTATGAAAAAATTAAGTTCAGCAATTATTCCTGAAGAGCAAGCAATTTGAGAGAGATTTTTTAAAGTTGCTGTTTACTTGTGTTTCATTAGCTGGTATCCTCTGGACAACCATCAATATTCCTCTTTACTTCTGTCCTGAGACTGTTTGTGTCTGAGTTTTCTCTCAAATATTCAACAGAAATAGCCAGTTGTTTGGAGCTTCACAAGCACATTGTGTTGTCACTATGGAACAGTAATACGAATTGCAGGTGTGAGGTGATAAAGGAGCTGGACTGCTTGTAAATATTGGTTTAGTGTGAACTCTTTTGGTAGTTCAAGAATTTCAGACGCTGTGTGGTCATGATATGATTATTAGAGAGGTGAATTTTATGAAAAGTAGGGTCAAAATTGTCATAATTACTATTCAGTCCAAAAACGTCTCTTTGTAGTGTATTAGCAAGAGCGAACAGATATTCAAACTCTAAAGGTTCTCTGTGATGACATTGCTTTATTATAATATAGTATAATATAATGGAACTTGGCCGAGCACAATTTGCAACCACAATGCTAGGGTGTTGTGAGAGGTTGCCAGGGTGTTACTGTGTGGTTGTTTTTTGTTTGCAAATACCAAAAAATATTTCAAAATATGAAAAAAAAGACTTGGTTGGAGCTTTTAGGTCACTAGCACTGTATTTGGCCACTTATGGTTATAAAAGCTTTAGAAATGCATTAAAAACAATTGAAGAAAATGCAGTTACTGAAAAACCGCCATCATGGAAAGCAGATATAACTGATTTTAAAAAGACTGCTGTTTTTAAAATTAATTATATTTCCATTTTGAGGTAATAAAAAAAGAAAGAACATATCTGCTTGACCTCTGCAGGCTAAAGCTCTAAAGTGGCTCTTCAAATGCAATTGGACCAGGAAATAAGCAATAGCAAAGATACAATGTGTGAGTAATCCATGTCTGTGTGTGCTGGCAATTATAGCGTTATGCAGTGATGACGGATTTTTGTAGGCCAACCCGGAAGTTAGTTTCACTCTGATTTTCTTACCAAAACCTAATTGTTTTTTTTTTCTTCCAGAAACGGCTATAAACAACTATACTATAGTCACTAGCATTAAGCTTATGACAACTTTTTAAGTGTTTATGTAAAACGATTTTTCCTACAAGTTTTAGAATAGTTTGCAAGTGTGATAAACACACTGAGGCTGTAAAAGCAGACTAGTGAGTAGATGATTTTACCTGTTCGGTGTGATGTTTAATGTTCCCGATAACATTTGTAGTCCTGTTAAGCCACTTGCTAGCAAGCTTTTACTGGTCTTGCTGGCACAAGTTAGCAGATTAATAAAAGCTTTTACTGATCTAATTATGTCATAGAATAAAACATGAAAATTCAGTTTGTGATAACGTAACAGCCATTTAACCAAAAACCAATTCAAAAACCCCATTGTCTTCAGGACGATAGAACAGGAAATGCTAAAATGCTAACTCAATTCCTGTTTTTGGCCTTCAAAAATCATCCCTGCATCACTCTATTTTTCCATTGTTTTTCTCCACAGGTCTTGCTGTGTTTTTCTCGAGACACTGCAGTCCTGGAGCATTTCAACTACAACTGTGCTACACCGCCTAAATCTTGCATCCAAAGTAATGTCTTTTGAATATTTAGCTTTGTTGATATAATATCTTCCTTAGCTTCTTTTCAGTCTATAAAATGTATTTTTCTCAGGCAAGTCTGGCTCAGAGCAGTGTGCTGTGGTTTACCCCCCGAATGGTGAGAGAGAAGCTTTTACAAGCACAGTATTTGCATCAAAGCATGTCCCAGCATGCACCTTATAGTCTTCATTTGTTGAATTCTCTGAAATGTGTCAGAAACCAGGGCCAGTGCATTTAATAGATGATTTATTCGTTTTCAGTTTTCCAAAATAATTTTGTAATAACAGTAATTGTTATAACAGAAAATGACCTATCTGTCCCATAGGTGTCATTCCATTTCATGGATTCTCAATGTATGGTGAGTATGAAGAATAAAGCACATAACCTCAAAAAGCTAAATATATTTAGTAAACAATCATCTATCTGTATCCTGTGCTGCAGTTGCACCACTGTGTTTCTTATATAATGAGCCTTCGAAGCTGTACAGCGTATTTAGAGAGATGTATATTCGCTACTTCTTCAGACTACACTCTATCTCCTCACATCCATCTGTGAGTATCTTGTGTGTGCATGTGTGACGTTGATGTAACATGATTGATTGCCTTTGTGTCAGTTTACTTAGGATGATGGCTGTTTCTGAGCTCACCAAACCTGTGTGTGTATGTGTGTGTGTTAGGGTACAGTGTCTTTGTGCTTGCAGTTTGAGAGATTACTGCAGACTCATCTTCCCCAGCTTTTCTACCATCTACGAGAGATTGGAGCCCAGCCGTGAGTTCACATTGCAGATTACTCAATCAATTAATTTTTAGTGTACCTTGTATGATACACTATATAAAAAATATGAAAATTGGTCTTTATTCTTGTTTATTGGTTCTTTGTCATTTATTAGGGGCCAATCACAGAATCGTTTAGTTTCCTAGACGGTTTGTGCAATTGTATCTGTTAGTCTTCTTCGTCTTCATCTTCGTCGTCTTCTTCTTCTTCTTCAACTCTGGAAGTCTATGAAAGCCCATAGAATTGCTTGCGTGAAGGTTATGAAATTTGGCACACAGAGGACAGTCGCAATATTAACCATAGCAAATTTTAAGTCTCTATCTCAGATTCTCTAGCGCCACCAATAGGCCAAATTTGCACCCATATTTTTGCTAGTAACTTTTAAACTGTAAGGTCTAGAAGCAAAAATATTTTTGCCTTGGCTCATGGCGAGTCAAATGCATACCAAAATGTAAATTTCTACTTGGCAAAATATTTCCAATGGAGTAAACCATTCTTGTAAAGCGTGTTAATGATTTTTTTATTAAATTCACACAAAAATGGACATGAGGCTATATCTTTAGTGGATTCTTACCAAATTTTGTACGTGTTATGACAAGCATGACTTGAGGGCACAGGAGTAGCTTTGGCATGGCGCCACCTACTGGTCAAAAATATATAAACAATTGCCATTTTTGTTTATAATTTCTGAACAGTTTAATCAATCATAAGACTGATATCATTAGATTTGGAGCAGCATACCAAATCAGATCATACCCAATTTTCCTGTGTCAGCCATTTTGAACGTGGACCATTTCAAATTTTGTAGTAAAATTCTGTATTTTACAAACGCTTTAGCTTATTGTTATGACTCTTATGAATATTATAGAACCACTTGGGGGTAAAGTTATGAAATTGGGCAAACAGATAGAGGAGACACACTGCACGATTTTTCGGCTGTCCCAGACATTGAAACAATCGTGGCGATTTCTGCAGATTGTGCCTCATAATCAGTGGTCCTGTGTCGTACAGTGAGAGAGGTTCAAAGACTGCAGTTGTCACGTTCTTGTGACCAAAGACACAGCCTGATCATCGCACAGTGTGTTTGCTGGTACGATCCACGTTTACTGACCAACCAATAAAAATGCGACATGAAATCAATTCGACATGGCGCTAAAACAAAACTACTTACCTAAAGCTCTTATCCCTTCCTCTTTCGCCGCTTCCACTTTTTTCAGCACACATAAAAACTACAACTGCTAAGGTGTGATTTATCATGCTCTTTTTGTTTACCTCTAGCGCATGCTGATAAGAGTTTTATTCTTCTATAGTAACATGCATCGTAGCCTACGAGTCAATAGGTGTAATCATCGTACAGTCTACACACATGTCGTGGCCAGGTTTATTAGATCCATGTCACACAGTGTAGCATGCAATGATCTTATAGGATTGCTAAAATCATGCAGTGTGTTTCGGGTTTAACAGGGGTCTCCAACTCTGCTCCTGGAGAGCTACCATACTGCAGATTTCAGCTTCAATCCTAATCAAACACACCTCAACCAGCTAATCAAGGTTTTCAGGGCTACTTAATTATAGACAGGTGTGTTGAAGCAAGGTTGGAACTTAAAGGAACACTCCACTATTTTTGAAAATAGGCTCATTTTCCAACTCCCCTAGAGTTAAACAGTTGCGTTTTACCGTTTTCGAATCCATTCAGCCGATCTCCGGGTCTGGCGGTAGCACTTTTAGCTGTAGCTTAGCATAGATCATTGAATCTGATTAGGCCGTTAGCATCTCGCTCAAAAATGACCAAAGAGTTTCTATATTGTTCCTATTTAAAACTTGACTCTTCTGTAGTTACATCGTGTATTAAGACGACGGAAAATGAAAAGTTGCTCCATGGTTGTATATCAAAAAATATACACTTTTTGATATACCATAAAAAAAAAAAGGTAGCCCATCTGAATTAGGACATTTAGGCTATCCATCTAATAGTAGCCTACCAAAATCTTATTAACAGTAGAAGTTAAATCTTACTGTAGTCTTCAAATCTGGGTACTGTTTAAAATCACAAAGGGAGTTTGGTCCCATCAGGCTAACATGACAGTCACGACTCATGCAGCTGTAAGGTTTTCTTTTTCTTTTGTTTTTACTTGCGATCTTCACAACACGCATTACATTGCGTATTTATGCATATTTGGCGCCACCTATTGTTGTGGGTGTATTATTGACATGTCAAAGTCTAGACCCTGAATATAAGACGACCGCGTTTTTTCAGATGTATTTCCAAGAAACAAACATTGTCTTATACAGTGGGGAAAAAAGTATTTAGTCAGCCACCAATTGTGCAAGTTCTCCCACTTAAAAAGATGAGAGAGGCCTGTAATTTTCATCATAGGTATACCTCAACTATGAGAGACAAAATGAGAAAAAAAAACCCCCAGAAAATCACATTGTAGGATTTTTAAAGAATTTATTTGCAAATTATGGTGGAAAATAAGTATTTGGTACAATACGGTAATAATCCTTTCATAAAAACGGAATTTACTGTATAACGCAGAATTTCATTATTTTTGACGAATAAATAAAAAACAGGTCAGTACATGTATATAGACTGTGTCTATGGATATTAAACTGCAAAAATACTTATTTAAATACGAATCCTCATGTTCTGCATGCTCATTTGATTACCAGAAAATACACAACAGAATTTGTGAAAAATATTGGTTACACTTTACTTGAAGGGGTGTGCATAAAACTGACATGACACCTACATAATCATGACATGACACATGTCATGAATATGAAGGTTTTTTATGCATGTTTATGACAACTGTCATTAAGTGTCATTCACTCAGTTATGTAATTTTTAATGCAAAGATGACATTGTTTGATATGTCTTTGTTATGGGCTATGGTTAGGGGTAGGGGTAGGGTTAGGTTAGGGTTAGGTCAAATAATGTCATATTTGCATTAAAAAGGACATAACTGAGCGAATGACACTTAATGACGGTTGTCATAAACATGCATAAAACCTCCTTCATATTCATGAGATGTGTAATGTCATGATTATGAAAGTGTCATGTCAGTCTTATGCACACCCCTTCAAGTAAAGTGTTACCAAAATATTATTCATTATTATTATTTATTCATATTAGATGCTTACATTTGGAAAAGCTGTGTTTCCTGCATAAACCTGACCCTGTTAGTTTGGCCGTAGCTTGCTTGACCTACACAGTTACCTTGTTTAATTTCTTAATTCAAGTTATATATATTTTGTTCTATTTGTGTTATTTATAATAAGTGAAGTTTACTGCTAAGTGCACTGATGTCAGACTCATTTTGAATAATAAAGTTTATTTATATATTCTGTATATTTTATATACAGTACCAGTCAAAAGTTGAATGGGAAGTGTGTCCAAACTTTTGACTATACTGTACTATAGTATAGCCTACACATAAAGAATGTCGGCCGATATATCGATATCGGTCTTTTTTTATCGGCATTTATCGGCATCAGCCCCCAAAAAAACCATATCGGTCGGGCTCTACAAACAATTACAGCACTTTCAGAACCTTATTGTGTCGCTGTTCATTTCCTATAAAATATGTTAAGTATGACAGCATGGTAAATAAAAAATAAAGAATACATATACATATATAATGTGTTTGTGTGTGTGTGTGAGAGAGAGAGTACGGTAAAACAGGAAAAATTACACCTGTAATTTCAAAGTGAAGGCTTATGATAGACCCTACTCTTAAAAGCACTCTTTTATTTCGTTCTTAAACAACCAACCAATCACATTCTTAAAAAGACTGTGTCATAGCTAGCAATGGGGTCAACCCCGCCTCCTCACTAAGATAAAAGTTTTTGTCTTTTCCTCGCTCAGAGTTGCTCTCAGATTGGTCCTGAATCACTTTTAAGCTAAGACTCCTATTTAGAGGTTTTTAAGATAAATTAGGAGCTCTCTGAGAGGATTCTTAGAATCCTTAAGGATACGGGCCCTGTCTTTACTGAGTAATTAAAGACAGCTTCGTAGCTCCTTTTATTTTACCTCTGTTGTGCTTAATTGCCCCTTAATTGGGCCCCTTAATCTAGCATCTATGTAATCTTGTATCTTTAGATGAATAACAAAATAATCTATTTAATAAAATTCTTATATTTATGGCAAGGATAATAGGATAATATTCCAACCTTAACTATTAAGGATCTGTGCAAAACTTTCCAAAGTTGATGATTTCAACTTGCTGAATAATAAAATAATAAAACAATGAAAGAGAGACCAAAGCAATATTAAGCGACCACCAGAACCACCACAAGAGGCTAAGAACCACCCAGAACACATTATAATAGCAACTGCATAGGAACATGATTAAAACCACCTAGAACATCAACCACACAGCAATGGGTTAAAAACCTCTTAGCAACTGAAAAGCATCATGCTAAATCACCTTAGTAACTTAGTAACCTAACTTAATAGCCACAGGCTAAACACCACCAAGGAGCACCTTAGCAAATGCATTGCAATGTGCTAAAAACACTGTAATCTTACAATCTATGCATACATAAAGCTTATGTTTCTTTAGTTTCCTGCTGAAAAAATTATACTTTTAAATATAATTTATTATTATTCTCAAGTGTGAATGTTCATTAATGTCTCATTTATTATGCATACTCACATGAAGCTTATGTTGCTTTAGTTTCCAGTTGAAATGTTGAAGTCACTTCAGTGACAGTGTTACATTGTAACTGTGCATCTCCATCTAGTGGATGAATTATGCACACACAAGTCTCACACCTCAACATTTGTGAAAGCAAATAACAGAAATTTTGAATAAGGGTTTAGATCTATACTGTGTGTATGTTTTGGGGAGTGTTTCTCAGTGTGTGTGTGTGTGTGTGTATCTTCCTTAGGTTGCGTATTGCCTTTAAGTGGATAGTCCGGGCCTTCTCAGGATACCTGTCCACTGACCAGCTCCTATTGTTATGGGACCGTATCCTAGGATATGATTCCTTAGAGATAGTAGCAGGTAGAACGATATTTTCTAATGTCTGACCTTTTACCAACTATTATGAACATGAAACATATCATTTTACTGTCACTTCACTGTTTCAAATCACATATTGAATGCAGCCAGAGTTTGATGTCAGGTACTTATTGGATAAATAGTTAATCACTGTGTTTAGGAGGTGTTAAACTGTTTTTAATTTACCTTCATTTTGAAAATGTGACCTCTATGTTAGGGCGCTCTTAAATAAGAAGGGTCAGTCAGTTATATGGCATACACCCAATTTCCTGGATGATGACTATTTGTCTGTCCCTCTTTTTCAGTCCTGGCCGCTGCTGTCTTTGTCTTCCGAGCCGAAAACCTAATGGAAGTGACATCACTGGCATCAGCTGAGGTTGTTACTTGTGTGTGTGTTAAGCAATACAAAAATAGTGTCTTCATTTACAGCCAACACTAGTAACCCAGTCCACCCAAGGCACATGTTTCAAAATTGCTGGGATAACCACTTTTTAAAAGTGGACCAAGTCCCCCACACCCCAGCTCTAAAATGTTTTGACGATGTGATGGGAATTTTAGCATGACAGTTAACTGTCGACACTATATGTGTGTGTGTGTATCCTTCTGTGCCTTTGTATGTGTAACAGTTTATAACTCATTACTAGTTTATAACTCATTACTTAAAAGAATATCTGGGTTTAGTACAAGTTAAGGCTAATAAGAAGCATTTGTGGCATGATGTTGATTACTACAAAATAGTTTCCAATTGTCCTTAGTTTTTTTTCTTTGTAAACACAAATATCAATGTGTTCCATTGAGGCACTTACAATGGAAGTAAATAGGAACACAATGTAAACAATAAGAGTGTTAACACTGATTTTAGTTAGGAATAAATTGCTTACTAACCTTTCTGTGTGAAGTTACATCCAATTTTACATCTTTGTTGCCATTACAATGTAACATGATAATTTGGGTAACATTGGGTGAAGATTCCCCTTCACTGTCATTGAAAAAGCCTGTATACAGTAACCAAGATCATTGTTTTAAGGAAAACAGGAGACAACTCTAAATTATTTAATATCATTCTACAAATTCTGATTTAGCTTAGCTTGTACTGAACCCAGAAAATGTCTTGAAATCAGAGGCACTTAGTGTATATGTTGATAAAAACATAAGTGCACTGATGTCAGACTCATTTTGAATAATAAAGTTTATTTATATATTCTGTATATTTTATATACAGTACCAGTCAAAAGTTGAATGGGAAGTGTGTCCAAACTTTTGACTATACTGTACTATAGTATAGCCTACACATAAAGAATGTCGGCCGATATATCGATATCGGTCTTTTTTTATCGGCATTTATCGGCATCAGCCCCCAAAAAAACCATATCGGTCGGGCTCTACAAACAATTACAGCACTTTCAGAACCTTATTGTGTCGCTGTTCATTTCCTATAAAATATGTTAAGTATGACAGCATGGTAAATAAAAAATAAAGAATACATATACATATATAATGTGTTTGTGTGTGTGTGTGAGAGAGAGAGTACGGTAAAACAGGAAAAATTACACCTGTAATTTCAAAGTGAAGGCTTATGATAGACCCTACTCTTAAAAGCACTCTTTTATTTCGTTCTTAAACAACCAACCAATCACATTCTTAAAACATATACATATATAATGTGTTTGTGTGTGTGTGTGAGAGAGAGAGTACGGTAAAACAGGAAAAATTACACCTGTAATTTCAAAGTGAAGGCTTATGATAGACCCTACTCTTAAAAGCACTCTTTTATTTCGTTCTTAAACAACCAACCAATCACATTCTTAAAAAGACTGTGTCATAGCTAGCAATGGGGTCAACCCCGCCTCCTCACTAAGATAAAAGTTTTTGTCTTTTCCTCGCTCAGAGTTGCTCTCAGATTGGTCCTGAATCACTTTTAAGCTAAGACTCCTATTTAGAGGTTTTTAAGATAAATTAGGAGCTCTCTGAGAGGATTCTTAGAATCCTTAAGGATACGGGCCCTGTCTTTACTGAGTAATTAAAGACAGCTTCGTAGCTCCTTTTATTTTACCTCTGTTGTGCTTAATTGCCCCTTAATTGGGCCCCTTAATCTAGCATCTATGTAATCTTGTATCTTTAGATGAATAACAAAATAATCTATTTAATAAAATTCTTATATTTATGGCAAGGATAATATTCTAAACCCCCAACCTTAACTATTAAGGATCTGTGCAAAACTTTCCAAAGTTGATGATTTCAACTTGCTGAATAATAAAATGGATTTACAATGAAAGAGAGACCAAAGCAATATTAAGCGACCACCAGAACCACCACAAGAGGCTAAGAACCACCCAGAACACATTATAATAGCAACTGCATAGGAACATGATTAAAACCACCTAGAACATCAACCACACAGCAATGGGTTAAAAACCTCTTAGCAACTGAAAAGCATCATGCTAAATCACCTTAGTAACTTAGTAACCTAACTTAATAGCCACAGGCTAAACACCACCAAGGAGCACCTTAGCAAATGCATTGCAATGTGCTAAAAACACTGTAATCTTACAATCTATGCATACATAAAGCTTATGTTTCTTTAGTTTCCTGCTGAAAAAATTATACTTTTAAATATAATTTATTATTATTCTCAAGTGTGAATGTTCATTAATGTCTCATTTATTATGCATACTCACATGAAGCTTATGTTGCTTTAGTTTCCAGTTGAAATGTTGAAGTCACTTCAGTGACAGTGTTACATTGTAACTGTGCATCTCCATCTAGTGGATGAATTATGCACACACAAGTCTCACACCTCAACATTTGTGAAAGCAAATAACAGAAATTTTGAATAAGGGTTTAGATCTATACTGTGTGTATGTTTTGGGGAGTGTTTCTCAGTGTGTGTGTGTGTGTGTGTATCTTCCTTAGGTTGCGTATTGCCTTTAAGTGGATAGTCCGGGCCTTCTCAGGATACCTGTCCACTGACCAGCTCCTATTGTTATGGGACCGTATCCTAGGATATGATTCCTTAGAGATAGTAGCAGGTAGAACGATATTTTCTAATGTCTGACCTTTTACCAACTATTATGAACATGAAACATATCATTTTACTGTCACTTCACTGTTTCAAATCACATATTGAATGCAGCCAGAGTTTGATGTCAGGTACTTATTGGATAAATAGTTAATCACTGTGTTTAGGAGGTGTTAAACTGTTTTTAATTTACCTTCATTTTGAAAATGTGACCTCTATGTTAGGGCGCTCTTAAATAAGAAGGGTCAGTCAGTTATATGGCATACACCCAATTTCCTGGATGATGACTGTTTGTCTGTCCCTCTTTTTCAGTCCTGGCCGCTGCTGTCTTTGTCTTCCGAGCCGAAAACCTAATGGAAGTGACATCACTGGCATCAGCTGAGGTTGTTACTTGTGTGTGTGTTAAGCAATACAAAAATAGTGTCTTCATTTACAGCCAACACTAGTAACCCAGTCCACCCAAGGCACATGTTTCAAAATTGCTGGGATAACCACTTTTTAAAAGTGGACCAAGTCCCCCACACCCCAGCTCTAAAATGTTTTGACGATGTGATGGGAATTTTAGCATGACAGTTAACTGTCGACACTATATGTGTGTGTGTGTATCCTTCTGTGCCTTTGTATGTGTAACAGTTTATAACTCATTACTAGTTTATAACTCATTACTTAAAAGAATATCTGGGTTTAGTACAAGTTAAGGCTAATAAGAAGCATTTGTGGCATGATGTTGATTACTACAAAATAGTTTCCAATTGTCCTTAGTTTTTTTTCTTTGTAAACACAAATATCAATGTGTTCCATTGAGGCACTTACAATGGAAGTAAATAGGAACACAATGTAAACAATAAGAGTGTTAACACTGATTTTAGTTAGGAATAAATTGCTTACTAACCTTTCTGTGTGAAGTTACATCCAATTTTACATCTTTGTTGCCATTACAATGTAACATGATAATTTGGGTAACATTGGGTGAAGATTCCCCTTCACTGTCATTGAAAAAGCCTGTATACAGTAACCAAGATCATTGTTTTAAGGAAAACAGGAGACAACTCTAAATTATTTAATATCATTCTACAAATTCTGATTTAGCTTAGCTTGTACTGAACCCAGAAAATGTCTTGAAATCAGAGGCACTTAGTGTATATGTTGATAAAAACAAGTTTTTTACCTAACATTTTTATATGCAAAAGCCCATATTAAACTTAATTTCTACATGTTTAACTTTTATGAAAGCATCCTATGCTAGTTAAAAGGTCTGCACTGTCGGATGCTGTGGCATGCAACTGCTTGATTGACAGCTGTAGTAAAAGTGCATCTGACCTGCTTTCATTAATTCTGTCTGTAACCCGCAGTGACGCACGGCCTGGGCCCCAAGACACTGTGAAGATGCTGCTGGACAGTATCTGCTTGCTTATGTACCACCTGGTCCCTACAGGAGAAAGTATCATAACACGTTGTATTTTTAGCGCCCAGGCCTGGTCATGAAACATTAGAGGAGACGTGCTAACCTGATAGGGGCCTCTAAATTTATTTGCTTCCAATTCCTTAAGGACCGAAGCTTGAGAACATTTGATGCCCTCTGAAGGCCCCCGCCCAAACGGCTCCTGTGAGGCGGATGCACTCTTAGCACCTTCCAAGCTCTTGAGTCACATCAGTGCGGGCCAGCAGACTCCATTTGGTGAAACTGGGCTGACGGTTATGCGTCTTTGTAGTTCGGCTAAAGGTGTGGTCACATCAGCAAATTTTCTCATGCATAAAAAAAGGTCATTATGCATTGTCAATAACATTGTCAGTTTCAAACTGAGTTTGTTGGTGAGTGCGGCAAATTCGTATGACCAACTTGAAGATCTCAGAAATCTGCATGCTGAACTTGCACGAAACATGACCGCACCTTAGGTGCCTGGTGTTTTTATTGCCAGGCAATCGGAATGGATGCCTCTGTTGTGAATATTTACCATAATGGACAACACTAGCTTAAGTCTACAGCCGCGCTTGTATATTACATGGCCAGAAAGAGTCTTTGTTTTTGCATGTTCAATTTTTTTTCTTCTTGCAGGCTGTTCTTGCAGACCTCTCAACCCTGAAGGTGATGCCCTTGCTGCAGATCTTCCTCTTCGCCACCTCCGTCTGAGAAGCTGGCGGTGTGTTTGTCTGTTTTGGTGGCTGGATGTTCCAGTCCATTTTCATTTGATGTTGACTTTAAAGGGATAGTTTACCCAAAAATTAAAATGTACTCACCCTCATGTCATTCCAATGACATTTGTATAACATTTAGTATGTCTTTCTGTCTTTGGAACATAAAAGAAAATGATTGAAGAATATTGGTGATCTCATAGTTTTGGTTACCATTGACTAGACAGAAGGGGAAAAAAAACTAGACATGGAACAGAATAATTTATGATTTATATGCTGTCATTTGATTTTTATTATCTTAAACATTCTATATACATACTGTATATACACGCGTATATACACATATATGAATATATGTATTGATGAGCCATTACATCATGGCCACCTAACCTGTAGGACCTCCTTTAGCCCACAAAACAGTGGCCACATGGCGAGGTCATGGATCTCCTGGGGTATCTGGTAACATAATGTCAACAGCAAGTCCTCCAGTTCCTGTACATTGCGGGATGGTGGTGATGTAGCGTGAACCCGCTTTTCCAAGTGGAACCACAGATGTTTGACTGGGTGAATTTGGAGGCCAAGGCATTAACAGAAATTCACCATCATGTTCTTTGAACTACACCTTGTGGCATGCCGCATTATCCTGTTGATAATGACCATCACTGGCAGGTTGCCATGAATGGGTGCGCTTGGTTCGCATCAATGTTCAGATACCTGACAGTACAGTGTAAGGAATTGTGCTGTTGGGATAATAGGGCCTAACGTGGCCCAAGAAAACATTGCCCACAGCATAACACCACCATCACCAGCCTGTATCCACCAAACAGTGCATCCAGGTGCCATAGCCACTGATGGTAATCGACGTATCAAGCCTTGGCCGTCGATGCGATGCACCAGGAATCTTGATTCATCAGACCAGGCCACTTTCTTCCATTATGCCCAATTCATGCTCTGTTGGCCATTGTGCAGTTAGCATGAAGACCCGGCTGGGTCATGGGCTGTTCAGGCCCGCACGCATAAGGCTGCGATGAACTGTGTGCTGTGACACATTGCCCTGGTCACCTCTGTTGTAGCTGCTGGTGATTTGTCGGACTGTGGCCCTGTGGTCTCTGTGAACAATGCACAACTGTTTCCGCTTGCCTCTGGCATCAGTGAGTTGCGGACGACTGTTCACTATTTGGCCATTTGTACACCACTTTTGATACAACTGCACGTGAACAACCCACAAGGTTTCCAAGATTGATAGCTGGTCCTCAGGTGATATATATACTGTTTTGTTAACTGCACCTGCAGAACCATATGGTTATCGGTGCTCATTGCTCTAGGCTGAGGGTGGTCATAATGTAGTGGCTCATCGGTGTATATATATATATATGGAATGTTATGACTATGTTGATGCCATATTATCACTGCAAACCTAATAGAATACTGTATGTAACTCAGTGTTGTTATTGTTAACTAAAACTATTGGAAGTCATTTTCGTTAATTAAATAAAGCTGAAATAAAATAAAAAATATAAGATGAAAAACCCAAAATCAAATGAAAATTAGAACTGTTGCCTTTGCAACTAACTAAAATGAAGTGCTAGAACGGAAATCAATAAATAGAAATCAAAATCACATAAATTTAGTAAATCTTAAAATTAAAATTAAATCTGAAATATATAATACAATTACAAAATAAATAAATACATGAATATAACAATATAAGTAATATTAATATAACACTTGTTACTCTTATATAATATAATGCCTTAGAATGGCATATCAGCCACAAACCTAAATACCAGGACAGTTAAAAAAAATTCATTATGTAGGATATTTTATATGTTAATGGGAGAGTTTCTAATAGAAACAACATTTGTAGTTGCAGTGTAAGTTTTAAAGATTCCCAGATAAGTCCTTGTAAGGATCTTAGGCATAAGTTTTAAAATTATAATAGATGCCACCTACTTCAGTTAGGATACTCTGGTTAGCCCTTTGGCTTAGTGCCAGTGAATTTGGATGAGAACACTTATCAAACTTGAACATAAGTGCAATTTCCATGGATAACAGAAGCAGCACTGATGGATATGTGTATTTGCCTTTCATATGTGCATAATGGCTGTTTTGTTTGACTATTAATAAACTCAGATCTCATTACACTCCCTGAGATCACCAAAAATGTTATTGATGGATTTGAAAGGGAAATGCAGGTAATTCTGAAGTCATACACCAAATGAATTGTGTTGTTTTGTCTGTATCATCTGTTTGTTCTGAGAATGGGGGCACTTTACACATCCCTGCATGTGCAATAATGTAACATACATTTTATGCAAATTGCAATTAATCAATGTTTATTATCTTTTGATTGCTAAAATATTTTTTTTACACTAACATCACTTGTTTATAGGTTACTTCTGCTCTTGTTCTGTAGCTATTATTTATTTAGAATCAGTTTTTGGATGCAGAAATGCATGTGAAAAATAGCCTAAATTACATTTGAAACTGTTAATTCATTATTCATTCAATAAAAGCTGTACATTCTAAACATAATTTTATGTTGTTAAGTGCAACTGTTACATTGCCCTACATTTATGACTACATTTTTGTGGTGCTCTTCAGTCACTTTTGACCGAAGAATTTTCTGTTTTGAATTTGTAAAAAAAAATTGAGGGCATGATTTGAGCACACTAAGTGGTCGTAAAAAAAATAGTCACACTTGTGGTCTTCGGTCAAAAATGACCGACCATAGGAAATGAATGGGAAATGGACAAAAACAATGTGTACAATCTACAAATCTGACACAATGCAGAAAAAAAGTACACAGCAATGACAGGGTGAAACTATAACACATCAAGAATGCAAAACCACACACACACCTATGAACTGGTGTGACTGTAACACAGCAAATATGAAGAGTTCAGATGCAAAAGCCTCTAAGTGCCATCTGAAATTTTCATCTAAAATGAGCATTTTTATCGGACTCCTATATTTATGTTCATTTATTTCACGTTAATGGCATAGAAAATGACCTATACATTGCCAGTAAAGTAAAATTACTGAACCTAAACATAGGAGCCTGATAAAAATCCTAATTTTAGAAGAACATTTCAAATGGCACTTAGAGGCTTTTGCGTCTGAACTCTTCATATGTAAAATAAAAGCAATAATTCAACTACAATGCAGTAAAAAAGTGGACAGCAAGGAAGGGGTTACACTCTAAAACATCAAGAGTGCAAAACAGACACACTCACTCAAACACACACTTACTTACACACACACACTCACAGACACACACATACAGAATTATACTCAAATTAATTGGTATGGCTATAATATAGCCAAAACGAGTCAGAAAACTGAAATAAGAGGTTGAAATCAGATCAAACCCAGAAGGATTGAGATCTGATAAAACATTTCTGTTCATTTTTGTCACATTTTTATAGAATTTTAATGTTTTGTGTAACAAAATGCTTTCTCTGTGTTCAGTTTTGACTGTAGTAATAATAATTCAAAAACTGACGCTTCAAATCAACATTTAAAAAAAAATTTGTCTTTGAGAATGTCTAAATGTATATCCAAACCCACAACTTAATAAAAATTAGAAAAACAATTAGAGAATTTATAGGCCTTTTATATAGAGCTATATATGAATCTATGAGCTACACCAGGGGTAGGCAAGTTCGGTCCTAGAGAGCCGCAGTCCTGCAGAGTTCAGCTCCAACCCTCATCAAACACACCTGAACAAGCTAATCAATGTCTTCAGGATTACTAAGGCTATAGGCAGGTGAGTTTTTTTTTCAGGGTTGGAGCTGAACTCTGCAGGACTGCGGCTCTCTAGGACCGAACTTGCCTACCCCTGGGCTACACCATGGAATTGCAGATGTTTTTCTTATTTTACTCCTACCAGATGGCACTAATCTGGCTTCAAAAATGGGATTTTAAAGGCATTGACTCTATTTTAACATGAAATACTGCACTCAATGAAAAGTAATATAAAAATATATTTAAAAAAAAAAAGGTATTATTTTCAATGGGCAGAACCCAATGGGTTCATCATAATTATTGCATAAATATTAATTAGTGCCATAAAATTATCTCAAAATACAAAATAAAAAATATTATTGAACAAAACTGGGGAGAAAAAAAGTTACATTTCAGGTGTCCGGTCACTTTTGACCGTGAAGATCACAAGTGTGACTCCCAAATGAGGAGCACCAGAGGGTTTAAACTACCATAAATATTTATTTCATTAAATTTAATTAAATAAAAGCTGTACAGTCTTAACAGTAATTTCACATTGTTATGTGCAAATTGTTACATTACATTAATATATATATAATTAGATTTTGTTTCAACCTCCATAAATATTTCAGTATTTTTTTCTTCTAACAGAATTTTACATGATTCTGTGTAATTGGATTTTAAATTTGGTCAAAAATGTCAAATGTAAAAGTGCATTTTTGTAAGATTTTAAATTTGTTTGTAGTACAGACAAACATAAAAGAAGATATAAAGATATAACTTGTCGAGTTCTTGAAGCATTAGTTCATCATGATTTTATTTATTTATTTATTTGATGGAATGGTTTGTTTCTTTAAAATGGTAATAATATGATATACTGTAACAAGGTTATCACTCCAGTGAGCATTTTCTATCTTTTTTTTTTTGTTTAAAGTGCCCCTATTATGGATAATGAAAGGTTCATATTTTGGTTTTGGGAGTCCCCAGCAACAGGTTGACATGCATGCAAGGTCAAAAAACACTTTAATTGTCTTATAATATGCATTAATTTTGACCTAGTACAGACAAACAGAAAAGAAGATATAAAGATATAACTTGTCGAGTTCTTGAAGCATTAGTTCATCATGATTTTATTTATTTATTTATTTGATGGAATGGTTTGTTTCTTTAAAATGGTAATAATATGATATACTGTAACAAGGTTATCACTCCAGTGAGCATTTTCTTTCTTTTTTTTTTTGTTTAAAGTGCCCCTATTATGGATAATGAAAGGTTCATATTTTGGTTTTGGGAGTCCCCAGCAACAGGTTGACATGCATGCAAGGTCAGAAAACACTTTAATTGTCTTATAATATGCATTAATTTTGACCTTACTTGCTCAACGACTCCTAAAGGATTCGCTCAATGATTCATTTTTCCAAACCCCTCCTTTGCGTGACACTAATCTGCGGTGATTGGGCCGATTGGTCTCATTTTCCCTTCATCATGCCTGTAATGCCTGATAAAGCAGTGTTTGTGA